ATGACCACTTGGCCAGTTTAACATACAAATTAACATCACACATACACACAGACCCCCGGTGTAGATCACATTCCAGCAGGGAGGTGTGATCAGACATCCACACTGGTTTAATAGCTATGGAATAACTGTACTTGATTGGCCGGCAAACTCACCTGACTTAAACCCCATTGAAAATCTCTGGTGTATTGTCAAGAGGAAGATGAGGGAACACAGACCCCGAAATGCAGACAAGCTGAAGGCCAATATCAAAGCAACTTGGGCTACCATAACACCTCAACTGTGTCAAAGGCTGATCGCCTCCATGCCACGCCGCCTTGATGCAGTAATTAATGCAAAAGGAGGCCCAACAAAGTACTGAGGACATAATACAGTACATTAACACACTTTTCAGAAGGCCAACATGTGTTTAAGATCCTTTTTTTATTGGTCACATGAAATATTCTAATTTTGTGGAATACTGGATTTGGGTTTTTTTTTTGTCTTTAATCCATAATCATCAAAATTGAAACAAATAAAGGCTTGAAATATTTCACTTTGTGTGTAGTGAACTAATATAACATACAAGTTTCACTTTTTGAAACAAATTATTGAAATAAATGGACTTTTCCTCGATATTCTAATTTTTTGGCACATACCTGTAAAGAGTCTATAATTCATAACTACTACATGCAGAGTGGCTACTTATACATGCTAAAAAAATAACTATTCTTACACTACAGTCACAAGAAATTTCTTGTTTTAATTGTGTTATTTAGCGCATATGTCACTGATGAACAAATCTCTCCCTGTGTTCATTTGCCTCAAAGACCACCATTAGAGAGCCCAAGAGCAGCCCAGCTGGGTAGGGTCAGCCAGGGCAATGCATTAAATGCATATTTATTTATTATTTTGATGTACCTGCACTGGCCTTCCTGTATTTATACACCTTATATTATTATCTATAATATCTGCTGTTTTTTGTTTAAAAAAAAGTGACCATCAAAGCAAAAAATGCCTGTAGATTTTTATGTTTCAATAGATTATTATGGCTGATGTATGTTCTTTGCGGTCCTAGGTGAGTCGCTTCAGTCCATACGAGTGGCATGCAGAGGAACCAGAGGAGGGTGCCGCGGAGCAGGGCCCTACTGATCAACCACCCAATGAGTTTGGCATCTTCAACTCCCTCTGGTTCTCACTGGGAGCTTTCATGCAGCAGGGCTGTGACATCTCACCACGGTAAGGGAGGAATATGTAGTGTGTGTGGGACTAACTGAGTGCATTTGTGAAAG